TTTGGCTGCTTGGTCGAAAAAAATATGTAAATGTGACTCGTTAATACGAACAAGTTTTTTGGGATTCCTACGGCATTGCCAAAATCGACTATTCAGTGCACATTACAATTACTTTTAGTCAACGTAATAAATGTCATAGAACTGTTGAATCTATACCGCGACGCCTGGATCCTCAATATTTAAAATATTCAGTCAGAAATCCAAAACTCCTTTTGGGGTTGCCCCGTACAAAAGTAAAACTTGTGAAAGACAGACGACATACCTGAAGCTAAAACTTACTGCGAGCGTACTTAAACAAAGCTCCTTTAGAGACATGAGACATCGAATATGAAGAAATTTTGAAATTTCTCCCGTAAGAGACTGAATAGTTGAATATTATTATAAATTGTTTATTAAAGTTTTATATTAATAATTCGTACCGTTGTTTTTGTATGATAAAAAGTAATGGGACGAACGATAAACGACACGCCAGTCCATAGCATTTGTTGCGCCACTCAGAGCATTGAATCGCAAAGATCTGAAGGGCACTGCCATTGCGCACATCACCCTGAGACGAGGTGGGCGTTTAAACGAAAAGCACTGAAAAAGTTTGCTTTTTTTTAATTTAAGCGTAAGCGTTGGTCCGTTCAATACTCAACAATTTGATTTTTTACAAAGTGCTCGTGTTTCAAGTCCCGCCATTTATGTTCCCTAAACAAATTAATTCGTCAATATGAATATTTAATTTTATAAATAAAAATAAAATTCGTGTTTTACAAATGAACTTACCTAACTTAAAACCTTTAGTGGTCTACTCTTGCTTTTCGACACAACACAACGGTGCAAGCTTTTTTTTAATATATAAGTTATTATTAAGTGTTTAAACATTTTTCTAAACGATTGTGTAAGCTTCAAACTAAACAGCGTGAGTGAAAAGCACATCGTTTTAACGTTTAAAAAGTAAACAGTTTTTCCCATCTCTAACACCAAGGCAAGTTGACATGTCCTATGTGCCTGTAATTTCACCAGCACCCTTATACCCTTCAAAACTGGAACGCAATAATGATCACATTACTGCTTGGCGGCAGAAATAGATAAGGTAAGGTGGCAGCACCTACGTCCTAGGACAAACTCTTTCTTTTCTCTTTCTTGATATAATAACCGCACAATATGATTATTCGTTAAAAGTACTTTTAACACATCCAAGTCACAAAAATAATTAGAAATACATGAAACAAATTACGTATATGTGAAATTTTGTAACTCCAATTTAAGCGTAAAAAAGTTATTGACGAATTTTATAAGTAGAATCTTTAAACAATCTCATTTCTTGAAAATTGGTCAGTCAAATTCAAATTCAAATTCAAAATAATCTTTATTTCATAGGTAAGCATTATTATTACACTTGAAATCGTCACAATGGTTAAACTCTACCGCTCATTCGTAAGGCAGATTCCCCTGAGAAGAATGAGCAAGAAACTCTAGGGGTTGCTTTTTGTAAATAACATTTACAATATTTTCAAACATCAGAGATCGAGACTACCTCCATGAGCTAAACGGGTTACTACCACGGATTTTTGTCATCCAAGTACGCAGAAGTTGTATAATAACCTTTAGTATAAGGTTTTTGTTTCACTATACTTTTAAACCTCCTGAAAGGCAAATTTTGTATATCAACCGGAATCTTGTTATAGAAGCGTATACATTGCCCCTTAAATGATTTTTTGACTTTGTGAAGACGACTGTCAAGAAAAGCTAGTTTATTTCTATTCCTCGTATTAATGTTATGTCTGTCACTATTTTTCATAAAGAAATTACTATTCCTTTTAACATAAATTACATTTTCATAATGTTCTGCGAGGCTAGTTAGAATGTTAATTTATTTAAACTTATCTCTCAAAGATACTTTGGGGCCCAGATTGTAAATTGCCCTAAATGTACGTTTCTGCAGGACAAAGATTCTATTGATATGGGCCGCATTACCCCAAAGCAAAATGCCGTACGTCATTAGACTGTGAAAGTAGCTGAAGTAAACCAATTTAGCGGTTTCGACGTCTGAAAGTTTCCTTATTTTTTTAATCGCGTACACTGCAAAGCCGAGCCGTTTTGATAACTTACTTATATGGGGACCCCATTGCAATTTAGCATCTAACGTCATCTAGAAATACAACTGTATCCACAAGATTCAATTTTTCGTTTCTAACTACAATGTTTGTAACCGTCTCTCTAACATTGAGTAATGTAAATTTCACACAATTTGTTTTTTTCTCATTAAGAAGTAGATTATTAACAGCAAACCAATCAACTACTTTAGATATAGCATTGTTGACATCGTCGTAGGAACATTGGTGCCTTTTAACTTTAAATAATAAGGAAGTATCATTAGCAAACAATACTAATCTCATGTTTTATACCCTCCATAAGACTGGGTAAGTCATTAATATAAACTAAAAACAAAAATGGGCCTAGAATTGAACCTTGAGGGACACCCATGCTAATTGAAGATCCTGATGATCTCGTTCCGTTAACATCGACCCTCTGTACCCTACCACGCAAATACGATTTAGGAAGGTCGAGATCACGTCCCGACATACCATAATGGCGAAGTTTCCTGACCAGTGTATCATGGAGCACACAATCAATATATATTTTACTGAGAGTTGGTAGTATTGATATAGGTCTGAAATTGGTGGGGTCAGAAATACTACCAGATTTGAAAAGTGGAATAACTTTACTTTGCTTCATGAGGTCAGGAAAGACACCATCATCAACACATTTATTAAAGACACAGGCTAAGTAAGGCGCAATACAATCAACTTATAACTAATAACTCTGACTGAAAGACCATCAAGATCAGCAGTATTTTTAACCGACTTCAAAAAAGGAGGAGGTTCTCAATTCGACTGTATGTTCTTTTTTTGTATGTATGTTACGCGATAACTCCGGTATTTGTGAACCGATTTTCATGATTTTTTTTTTGTTGGAAAGGGGGTACTTCCATAGTGGTCCCATTTCATTTTGAAGAAAATCATCCACCTCATAGGGTGGCTGTTCACGCATGAAGATTCATTTTTATAAATAGCGCCTAACTTTAATTTAGGAGCAATTACTTTTAGCAATTGTTTACTTGATTTTGCTATTTCTCCAATTCAAGGCGTTTTTCTCTCGATATACTTTGAGTAGTGTCGTAGTGAGAACCTATTTTTATTATATCCAGTATCAAGTCCTGTATAGTGGCGAACTAGGGGATATTTCAATGAAACTTAGCAAATAGACTTAATTCCACGTACTTTTGAGGTCGGTTTTTTAGTACTCTGTACTGATATTATTTATGTTTATAGACTTAAAGGTTTTAACAATATCGTTTGGAAATACATGACGGAACCTTAAATCAGTGATACTAACTGCCTTATTTTCTTTTAGTAAGGATTCAGCGGCGGTGGGAGATGAATTTAACGACTTAGTAGTCAAAATTGGAATGTCAGTAAAAAAAAATTCAAATATTTTAGCAACTTCTGCGTCTGTGTTTACAATTTTGTCATTAAATCTTAGTTGAAAATCTAAGTTACGAGATTTGACCCTTCCAGTTTCGCTGTTTATAATATTCCAAGTCGTTTTTACTACATTCGCGCTGCTTTTTATTTTATTATTTATAAACATTGCTTTGGCTGCAACACAAACACGTTTAAACATTTTCGTATATTTCCGAACAAAATCATTAAAACTGTTACTAGTGTTATAAGTCCTTTCATCGTAAAGATCATATAGTCTTTGTCTACTTTTGTGAATTCCCACAGTCGCCCAATCACTAAATTTCATAAACAACCACAAATTACACCCAAACTCACGATAGAAGTAAATGTAGGCCATACTAATATTTCTCCAGGCCCGGGAATCGAATCTGGGACCTCTGCGTGGCAGTCCGGCATGGTAACCCTTCGGCCACGGAGGTAGTTGATGATAATTAAATAATTGAGGGATTGATCAAGGAAGCAGGGGGTAAAAGTCAGTGTGGGAAAGTTGTACGACTTTCTCTTCAAGGAATACCTGTTCCTTGAGGCGATTACCTTAGCTAATTTATGTGAGACAATATAGTTGATTATGGCGATTCCTGTAATAATTTCTTTTAAAAAATTAGAGATGAAACGGATAGTCATTTGACCGGATAATGGATGCGGATATCCGGCAAGCACCTTCGCCGGATAGCAGGATGTCGTACCGCCGAATATCTGGCCCACTGTCGTAAACATGCCGCGTTACTCGTTTATTTCAATTTGATTTCACTTTTGGTGTTTGTGATCTAACTAATCTAAAAATTAATACCTACCAGTTTTAGCCGAAAAAAATATTTTTAAATCCACTTATATACGTTTCATCATTGTATATACGTATATACGAAAACAGAAGATCGATTATTATTCGAAGACATCGACATCGTATCGATCGCGATCGCGATCTTTCATTTGGAGGTCTGGAAATGTCATGTAAATAGTTAGTAGCAAAAGTGTATAGCGAAAAACTTGTCATCATGACATATTACATTTACATGCATGTTTTCAGTCGTTCGGGCAACTTTCAACTTTATATCAATTAAAAATACGCGATATGTCTCCTCAGGTCGCATCCTCTACGACGTACCATGTACAGTATGCAGTGATCATTCTTCCGGCAAGCACTATGGCGTGTTCGCGTGTGACGGCTGCGCAGGTTTCTTCAAACGTTCAGTGCGCCGCAACCGCCGGTACGCATGCACCGCGCGAAGCCCCGGTGCTTGCCTCGTTGACAAAGCGCATCGTAACCAGTGCCGTGCGTGTCGACTCGCCAAATGCCTGGACGCTGGCATGAACAAAGACGGTAAGCATTAACTTTGGTCATGTTCAGTGGGCTCTCAAAGGAGTAGTAGAGTCAAAAGTCCACTTTCAGTCGAGACGTTCCTGTTATCGCTAAGGCATCTAGTTATAGAGGATGTGCTGAACGAGAGATGAGAAAGTGGAAACGTGAAGGTGAAGTTTTTTTTTATTGACATATCACATTTTGTTACAGCGGTTCAAGATGAGAGAGGCCCGAGAAACTCAACTATGCGTCGACAAATGGCTTTGCTTCTGAAAGATCCAGTTCCTTCGTCAGAGATCAGACTTCATCCGGCTTTGGATCTAGCTCTGCCCAAACATAATTTAGTACCTGCGCCGCCCTTAACATTATTTCATAGTCCGTATCCTTACAGACTCAATCTCATGACGCCTTCTGTGGCACCTTGTGACTTTAAAATTCCGTCTCCTCCGCCCATAATTCCCTCGCTTCTGACTCCGTCTGATCCCGAAGCGATATGTGAATCTGCTGCACGACTCCTCTTTATGAATGTGAAATGGGCCAAGAATGTACCAGCATTCACTTCGCTGTCCCTTTCGGACAGATTTATATTATTGGAAGAATCGTGGAGAGACCTCTTCGTTATTGGTTCAGCGCAGTTTTTATATCCACTAGATTTAAGGGTATTGGTCGATGGAACGAATCCCAGAATAGATTTCAAAGAAATAGAAATGTTTGAGAGTGTGTTAACGGAGTTCGCAAAAGTTCGCCCAGATTACAGCGAGTACACTTGTCTGCGAACCATTGCTTTGTTTAAGACTAATTTCGGTGAGACGAGCGGAGGTTGTAGTCCGAGCCAGGCAGAATTAAAAAAACTGCAAGATCTACCAGCGGTGGCGGCATTACAGGACCATTCACTGGCTGTTTTAAATGAGGTACGTTATCAATAATAAGGTTTTTACTACTTTTTGAACTTTTTTGAACTGCCTCCGTGGCCGAACGGTTACCATGCCGGACTGCCACGCAGAGGTCCCAGGTTCGATTCCCGGGCCGGGAGAAATATTTGTATGGCCTACATTTATTTCTCTCGTGAGTTTGGGTGTAATTTGTGGTTGTCTAATTGTGTGTCCATGGCACCCGCGACACAGGGTTTCCCTAGTGCGGGGCTATGTTGATTGTGAGCGTTATTATTATTATTAATTATCAATGAAATACAATTCAAAATGTCTGTCAAGGGATTCTTTTTTTTTTTTTTTTTACTACTTTTATCTAATCACATGTTTTATGGTGCCAAATGCCCAAGTTCTAGTGTTTTTAGGAAACTATGAATTTTTTATTAATCAAAGTTGATTTAAAATTCAACGTTTTATTGTCCTAGTCATTCTTGCTAGTTAATACGAACTCGATCTCCACCTGAAGGTTCGTTGTAATCTCAAATAATTTCTATGGAAGTCATTTTTTCCATTATCTATTTCAAATTAAGAGCGAATTAGAACTTATTTGTTTCTTGTTGCAGTATTCAGTTCGGTCGTACCCTCTAGTGGCGTCTCGGGCGGGTCAGTTACTGCAGCTGCTGAATGCCGCGCGGCGGGTACCCGGCAACGCCGTCGTCGAACTGTTCTTCCGAACCACCATCGGTGAAATCCCTATCGAACGCATCATTTGTGACATGTACCGCACTGGCAAGGATCCTGTGTAAATCCTTTGTCACTGTAACATAGTGTTCCCCAATTAGTGGTATCTATTATTCCTACTCTAGTACATGATAACAACGTGTTTAATATGTGTAATGATCTCTTGCCTAAAACGTCCCCATTCGTTTATAACGTAAAGCACTTTTAAAGTAAGTAAATCCAGTACTTAATTCGTAAGTCCTTGTAACTTTAGTAGGCGTAAATTCTATATTTATAATAGAAACAAAATGTCATACCTGCATATTTGTATCTGTACTAGTTTATGTCGAAGAGAACGCGACGCGGTGAAAATCCGTTCGAATTTTATCATGCGAGCTGTAAGGTTTAAGTAGTTAAAAGCTGTTTTTGTTTTCACCGCAAAACGCTATATATCATTACTTTTTTTTATTACTGCTGTGATATTCTGTAGCTGTATTTCGAAATTAAATGATAGTTATGGCTTGTTAAATGTAAGCAACATGTACTAAATGCATGGCATATACAATGTATATGAATAAATATTTATTATTATTATTCTAGTATTACTAAGAGAGCGTCTTGGTATTATGGAAGATAAAGTGACCAGGATAGAGAGGGAATGCTTCGATGCTCATAACTCATGTAGAAAGTATGAATGTTGGTAGATTGACGGCACAAATTTATAGAGCGAATGTGGATGGAGGTGTGGTGAAAAGTAGAATTCGGTGTATATATCTCGATCAGATTGGGGATGTCCGTAAAAAGGCCGCGTTAAAAGTACCAAGAATAAACAGGCATGTATGGAGAGACTAATGAGAGTAGACAAAGCGAAGGAGGTTTGTCAGGAGCGTAACAGGTGGAGGTCTTGCATGTAAGTGTTCATTATTAATGTTTTCTAGTCACAAAATTGTATTTTTCATTAGTTAATACAAATTGTATGCTTAAGAACGATAGCTCAATTTAAAATATAGTAGTTATAGTAGCAACGTAACTTTTATTCATCTATAAGACGAATGGTGTCGTGTCTTAATAATATTGTATCATATGTATTTTAGGCTAGGCTAAATATAACAATAACGTAAAAAAATTATGGAAAAGTATAGGAAGAAGAAAATTAGATGAAAGAAGTATAGAAAGATGACAACGTTACTTTGAATTTCATTTTTATTCACGTAAACACAGCTCATATAATGTGCAGGATCAAGAGTACTACAAGCTTGACGATTGAGATTTAAATACAACTCTATGCAGCTTACGATAAGAATGAAAGTGCCACGCTTGTTGTACTCTTGACTGATATATCGCACATGACAACTAACATAGTGTTATTTCAAAAATCGCATCATAATTATATTGTATTAAAAAAAACCTTATATATGTATGTCGTATTTGTATATGATTTAATTTCAAAGTGACAATCAAACGTAGTCCTGTCACTTTAATATCCAAATTTAAAATCGTGTACTAATGATGTATGACAACGTAATTTTTGAAATAAAATATAATATAACGCAATTTTTGAGATAATAATTTTTAGTTGTCACGTACGATATAGCGATATATGTTATTATTTTATATCTATCTGCATATCGCACATGACAATTAACGCAGTATTATCTCAAAAATTGCGTTGTATGTGGGTATGTCATTCGTATATGATTTCATTTCAAAGCTTGGAGGATGGAAAAATTCAAAGTTACAACGCAAGTGACAACACTGTCCTGTCACTTTGAAATGAAATCGTATACGAATCCCACACATAACAATAACGCAATATCTGAGATAGTACAATGTTTATAAAATTCCAAGTCTCTACAAACAGAAACAACGAAAATATTTACATAAATACTCGTACATTTTACATACTTGAACTAACGGGCATCATTAGTCCAAACACTTCACGCGTCAGACATACTATCGCGCCATCTAACAATTCAGTATATTAATCAAAGTATGTTAATTGTCGTTGTTGTTTTTCGATGTCAAAAGGTGCCAAAGTGCGACTATTTATTTATTTGACTTCATACTGTATAATAGAGTGTAAGTAGCAATATACAAACCGTAAGTGTAATAATATCAATAAATTGATCAGAAATGTTGTAAAAATTCATTATTTTTTCATTTCATAGGTTAACAAATTACATGTGAAATAGTTTCAATTTGTAACCTAAAGATCAACAGGCTTCGTCAATAATACTAAAATACAAAACAACTGGGATTTACAAGAGATTTCGTCAAATATTCGTAACCTAAAAAGAATTCCCGCCTTGTTTCGTGCCCGCCTCAAAAATTCCTATTATACTGGCGACATTGCCTCCCTGGGCGTCAATGGACACTTGCAGAACCAACCACGACCTAGAGGCCCCTGTCTCTGAGACGGCGTCCCAACTGTTTAAAATAAGTCCCGAGCTTCCGAAGCCCAGCCCGCCGCCGTCTCGACCCGAAGTCGTACACAGGATCCGAGGGAGAATATTTTGCGTGCTTTAGTTTCTCGGCATTTTCAGTCGCGGAACCCGTCAATCGCGAAGTTTGTCATAAGTGGGACACAACAAAAGTACTACACATGTTGTGACCCACCAATGTGGTACCAATGTCAAAAAGTCCGGCTTTTTGCCATCAATTCGGCTCAGGGCTGGGTGCTCGAGCACGCAAGAGACGTTAGCCGACACCATCGCTCATCGCACAACATGGTTTATAGCCTGGTGAGCGGTGTCTGCGAAAACCACCACTTCCTCACCACTGCCCCACACCCGCAGCGCAGTGGTGCGGCTTACACACCTTGCTTCTCAATCGTAGTTAAAAAGAATTATCATCGAGCAGAGTAGGAACTACCCAACTGCGGAGACAGCAAATACGATACGAATTGATACGATCCAGAATATTACCATGAAGTATTATTTAATATCCGTGGATAGTAACCTGAAATATTATTTAATACACTACTTAAATAACAAAAATTGCCACCGAAATTAGGCAGAGAAAACTAACTTAACAATTACCTTTTTCAAGGAATAAATGATTTCTAAATTTAAGTTGATTAAGTATTTATTTTTAGTAATGGTACCTGCATGCAAACGGTTCAGGTCAGTACAAACGGTACAACAACTAGGTCAGCGGCTGGTGACGTCACCATTGGCATCCCACAGGGATCTGCCCTAGGTAATACACTATTCCTGGCATTCATTAATGATCTGCCATACTTTATATCAGGGGGTCTTGTGGTTCTATTTGCGGACGATACAACCGTTATAGTGTGTGCTAAAACCTACAACGAGTTGGAAGAAAAATTAGCCTGCACGTATGAGCAGCTGTGTGAGTGGTTCTCTGCGAATGGACTTATTCTTAACGAATCGAAGTCAAACCTTATGTTGTTCTCAGGAAGAAATTCTATAACAAAACCAATTCATTATAACAAAACCTTCATTGTTCCATTATGTAACACCTGTAAATTCTTGGGTTTAACGCTAGACTCAAATTTGAACTGGAAGTCACATATACAAACTCTATGTCAAAAACTTGGAAGTGCTGCATACGCACTGAGGAAACTGCGTCCTCTTGTCTCCAGTGTAGTATTGAGGCAGACGTATTATGCATTTTTTTTTTATTCGTTGATGTCTTATGGCATCACACTGTGGGGTAATTCAACTGAGTCGATTAGGGTATTTATTCTTCAAAAACGTGCACTAAGAACAATAGTAGGCATAAAAAAGGGTCAGACCTGCAGAAACCTTTTTAAGAAATACGATATAATGACCATGTACTCACAATATATTTATGATATAATAGTTTATGCGCGTCAAAACTTGGCTACTTATGAGCGACGTACGGGCGGAGGCCGAGCGTTGCGAAACGCGGGAACACTAAAATCCGTTGCCCACCGTACCGAACTTGCAACTAGAAATCCGCGGGTAATAGGTCCCCGATTCTACGAACATCTACCCACAGACCTGAAAAGTGTTAGAAACGATGAAACGTTTTGTACCCGACTAAAAATCCTTTTATTGGATATTGAATTGTACAGTGTCGATGAGTTTCTTTTGAAACAATTTTAATTTTATTTTATTCGACAAGCAGTAGTTTATACTACTTTATTTTATATTCATTATTATTATTATTATTTTGTTACTGACGATCATAGTTATCCCTTGACATTGTATTTCCAATTGTAATATTGTGATATTGATAACATGAAATAAACAATTCTATTCTATTCTATTCTATTCATACCTGCTAAAGTACAAATTAAAGTGTACAAAAGCGTTGAAAATAACTACGTAGGTCTACTTAATCAAGGTTTTTTGACTTACAATTTATATGGACGTCGGGTCCGCGCTAAAAAGTGTCCGCACTTGTAAGGCGCTAAAATCGTATACAGAGCGCGACACTCCGCTTTAGTCTTCATTTGTTCTACTGACAGCGCGATACTGCGATGACATTACAATTTAAATTTCGAATAGGTTGACTTGGGACATTTTTTTCGTGGTTTTTGTATTAGACCCGTCGTCCATTTATTTGTAAGTCAATGGTGCTTTACATCACTTTTGCGCTTATGGACTCAAATATAATCTTCATCATCATCATATCAGCCGGAAGACGTCCACTGCTCAACATAGTCCTCCCCCAAAAATTTCCAGACCAGCTAATCGGACGTGACGTGCATCCATCGGTTACCCGCCACCCTTACCAGGTCATCCATCCCTCAAGTAGGGGGCCGTACCACTGAACGCCTTACGGTTCGTGGCCTCCATAGTCTTGCTTGATTATTTATTAGTTCCGTTATGTTAGTTAACCTATTAAAGGACTGTTTGGCTGCTTGGTCGAAAAAAATATGTAAATGTGACTCGTTAATAC